TTCACCAAGGATACAACCACACACAGGGATTCACCCATAGGTGACTGTCAGTCACCCACCTGTGAATGTAATTCACCACGTATGTGACTTACATTCACCCATGGGTGAATCCCAGTCACATATGGGTGAATTACATTCACACGTGGGTGATGATTTAAGTGTAGAAGTCTTATACTCGTGTATAACTGTAATAACCAACTCATTCATATTTTTCTAACATGATAAGTTCTACTCTAACAAGCTTATTCAACTGATGATAAATTTCAAGTATATCAAGATTTGACTTTCAATTTATCTAGAATGATCACAACATCCGTGTTTGGAATAACTTTCAAAAGGGGGTGATTAAACTAAAAACATTATTATTTCTTATTCCTCTGGTTTTTCTTAGCTTGAGCCAATAACCTCTTATTTGATCGTTCTTCCTTTTTCTTAGCCTGCTCCTCCTTTCTTAATTCTTCTTTTTCAAAAGCCTTATCATACTTAGGGTCAACTTCTTCCTCATAAGTTTTAACTCTTTCATAACAATAAATTTCCCATTGTAAATCAGTCATACCTTTTTTTTTCACCTAGGAGTTTGATACGCTGGACCAATGACTCGGATATTTGACATGATGAGCCATATAAAGTGACTGCACTTGACTTATGTTCGACTACATTACCTTCAGCATCATAAGCTATTGAGGATGTAGTATAATGCGGAATCTGACAAAAAAATTAGTTCTTTCGAATCTTCCAATGATCATAAGAAAAAAAACTCACTGTGCTATCCCATAACAGATCATACATACCATTACAAACCCCCAAGACCACCTCAACACCAAAATCATCTACACAAAATCTTGACCCAACAAGTTTCCCAAGCTTAACCATCTTCCCCCCAACTTGAACCCCCTTCTCCATATCATACGGCTGTCCACTAGCTTTAATAATCATGCCCCACATCCCAAACGCATATCTGGTATGATCTTTATCAGTATGAGAATGGTTACAAAACCCTTCACATGTTACAACCAGGTTTGACGCAAATACTAGTCCATTCTGTGTATTTTCCCATGCCAAGGAATCAAAACCTGGGATATTTGCTTGAATTCCGAGTGCAAGATTGGTTTTGAACACAGAGAGGGATAAAGATGAAAATTGTTCCGCCCAGAAATCACGAATCTGATGAAATTCAATCATCCTTTCTTTGTCCGTAAGAATTCGTCCAATATTTGCTGAAGTAAATGCGCTTATACAATAAGGCCCTAGAACAATTCATACAACATTTATTAAGAACCCATCTTTCTTATTAGTTAATAAGCTTCAGATGTTAAGATGAAATCATTTACCAGCGGTTTTGCCTTTCTCACAACCCCCTCTCCAACCACAACAGCCCATCCATCCACATATCATATTTTCATCATCATGTTCACCTTCTTCTTTATCATGATGTTTAAGAGAACAATGTATCTTGCATTGATTTCTAGCACGTGCATGTTGGAAAGTAGTAGATACCGATTGATTATACTTCTCTCTAAGAGAGCTATTCATGTCTTTAAATGGGGTACAACGAACCACCATTACAATTGATAGATCCTTTCTATTAATCACCACCACCGTTCCAGTTTGAATCTTGAGGATTTTTCGTTCGGGTTGTTCAGGTTGGTCTTGTAGACTATAACGAAATACAAACTTAGTATCCATTGGTAATCCAAGATCCTGAATAAGTTTCCTTTTCAATTCAGTTCGCTTGGCATGATTACGAGTATAAGAGTTGCCAAGAGCCTTCTCCTTCCGATATTTGTTCTTGCATTTATAGTAGCTTGCGCAAGTTTTCGATTTGAAACTGGATACCTTCACCCCCGCATTTTGTTTCCTTTGTTTACTTCTGGAACGAGTCATCTTACTTTGAACTTGAAGGTGAGTAAGTTCAAATTTCCCCCTTTAGAATCTAGTAAGATACTTAGTGTTTGAATCGGTTTCACGCTTTAACAGCTAGTAGCTAGCTAAAATTTAAGACAGATAAATAGATTCTTAGCTGGTAATCCTTAGACGATGATTCATTATAACTTACCCTAATATTAAAATTCAATTGATCTTTATAAAGATCAAAAATCGAAGCGTTCGAATCGAAATGCTGAGAGCTAGTAGAAGAGAACAAATATCAGCTATTGATCGGGAGATCAAATTGTAAAATTTGATCTCTTCTTGACTTACCCTCAGATTAGAATCAGAAGCTTAGAAATATCTAAACTTCTCCTCGCAGTTTCGCACTATAGCTTAAGAGCAAGTAGTCGGTATAATCTTGAAACCTTCGATTTGAAAGGCTGAGAGCTAGTAGAGATTCATCAAATCTTAGCTATCCATTGACAGATCAATAATAAAGAGTGTGAAGGATATTAACTTACCCTCAGATTAGAATATGAAGTTTATCAATATCTAAACTTCTACTCAGAGTTCAAGACTACAGCTTAGAAGCTAGTCTTGATTATAATTTTGATGGCTTCGATTTGCAACGGTGAGAGCTGGTAGAAGAGACCGATTGTTAGCTATCGATCAACATATCCAGAATACAGAGCTTCTTCCATAATGACTTACCCTCCAATTCGATTCTGAAGTCTAGAAATATCTAAACTTCTACCTCAGGACTGAGCCTACAGCTTAAGAGCCAGTCTCAAATATAATCTCCAACCTTTCGATTTGAAAGTGTGAGAGCTAGTAGAGATAGATTGATTCTCAGCGATCGATCCACAGATAGCAGCGATCGATTCACAGATCAATAATAATGGATACCTAATCAAATTTGCCTACTGAAGACTTAGCACTCGAACAATCCATCCAATTGGTAGGTCAAGTGTTGAAAGCTTACCTGAAGATGTTCAATCTGAAGTTAATCAGAATCGAAAGTCGAGAGTTGGTATTGAATTTGGATGGAACTTGGTGATAATAGATGATCAATTTGATTGAGTCAACCTTGCAAGATTCCCTGGACAGTAGGCTGAATTCTCCCGGTTCGTAGTACGGAGTCCGACAACGAGGAGAAAACAGCTACTAACTGTTGGGATGCAATTAAAGTCGAGTTGCTTGAGGCCAGTTGTCTTTGGAATGTTTGAAAGCAGAAAATCGTAAGTCTTGTGGTTTCATCTTGAAGAATTTTTCTCTGACTACGAAAAACAAATGGTAACCCTCAATACAGAGGTTAGGGTAGACATAACCTCTGTATGCTACCCGACCTTTAGGGTGGACATAACCTAGGATGCTACCCGAACTACGTTCGAAAATCAATCATTACCGAACTCACGAAACCATTTGTGGTAGATTCATAAGGAGTAGCATGGGCTCCGCTTTGTAAAATGGTCTTACCTTTTTTACGTTTGATTAAACGTAAATAAACAAAATGATGTGAAAAGATCATTTCATTATCATCAATAATAAAATCTTTGGATTTTATTCAATTTATTTCGAGGAAGAAGTCTTAATGAAGCAAGATTTAAAGTATCATCAAATTGAGCTAAAAAGAACATTTTATTGAGACTGAAGAAGAATTAAATTTAGCTAAAAGTTTAGATAAATTTAAGATTAAAGACAGTCATGTGTATTTAGATGCAAGTATTAAGTTTTGATGGTGACATTGTTAAATGGTGAATCTGCTTATTATTAAATAAGCAGAAGCAATATGAATTGGCTGAATTTAAGTTTAATGCTTATTATTAAACAAGTAGAAGGAATATGAATTGGCTGAAATTAAGTTCCTTCTACATGATTACACTTTAAAGTAATGTGTAATCATCTTATATTGACCTGGAGCATGGATACCTGATTATATAGCAATTGAAATTTTCCCTCAAAACTTTTGCTTTGTGTGCAGACCAAGCCAAAGGTAACCTGATATTTTTACTGTATGACTCACCTTGCACATAATCAGGATCAAGTTCCTGATTAGAAAATGTTGATTCCACATTTTTTGATGCATAGCTTATGACAAATGTATCTTTTCACCACAACTTTTGCATATTCCACCCCACCCAAAAAGTAAGTGTATATTTGGAATCAGGGACCTTTATTTACCCTGTGACAAACCTTTCACATCATCCGGAACAGGTTGTGATTGGAAACTTGAGTATGATCATGTTTTGACCAAGTAACACACATACCTGAAAACAAATGTATGTTTTCACCACAACTTTGTCATATTCCACCCCACCCAAAAAGTAACTGTACATTTGGAACCAGGGACCTTTATTTACCCTACGACAAACCTTTCACATCATCCGGAACACGTTGTGATTGGACAATTGAGTATGATCATGTTTTGACCAAGTAACACCCATACCTGAAAACAAATGTATGTTTTCACCACAACTTTGGCATATTCCACCCCACCCAAAAAGTAACTGTACATTTGAAACCAGGGACCTTTATTTACCCTACGACAAACCTTTCACATCATCCGGAACAGGTTGTATACGGGCAAAGGTCTCATCAACAAAATTTGATGAAACCTAAATTCCAAATGTGAGTTTCCAGTTCACCTTTTAAAATTGCACATATCCCTAACCCTAAGTGAAGAGTTGGAATCCTGCACATTCAGTTAAACCATGTGCAGGATTCCAACTCTTCCGGAAAAGGCTCAAATTGGGAAATTGGCTAATCAACATGTTTTGACAAATACCAGAATGCAGATGGAAAATTACACTATTACTCTTCCTTTCAAATAATGAGAGTCTTCATTATTTGAAATAATGTTCCTTCATATATACACGGTGGGCAAACTTCCAGACCCATGGACAAGGCTCATGTGGTCAAAATCGCTCATCAACGGCATTCACACCAGGGTGAATCCCAATGCACACCACGGTGAATTTGATTTGGTGAACAACCTGCAACATAATCCGGAAAAGTTCATATTTGACTGAATCTTTGGCTGCCATTCATTCACCCCCAGGTGAATGTCAGTGCACTAGGGTGAATTTGAAATTCACACCAGTTTGAAGCAGTATCACACTTGAATGTACATGTATCAATTCTTCAAGACTCATGGGTTAAGAATGAGAAATGAGAAATCAGACAAATCACGTACTAAGTTCTGTAGGATTTCATCATACTCATTTCAATTGTACCAAAGGAAAATACAAAACATAGATATTGTAAAGATGTATGTTGTAGAATTTTAAATAAGATTGAAAAACAAGCATTTTCATCCGTCCACATCAATATCACCAAAGCCATTCCACTCCTCCTCCTCCAAAGTCTCCATCATATCATCTTCAAGATCATGATCATTATCCTGGGTCATCATAACTTGAACATCAGTATCATCATTCAACTCGTTACCTAAGGTTTCTAAATCCGCCACATGTGAGTTAGGTGTCACCTTTTCCATTCTGAATAGGTTCTTCTTCACATCACTCAGCCACAGACTCCTACGACTGTTCATTCCATTAAAACCTAGCTTCAAAACATCTTTTGGAAGGGTTGAACCCGGCAATTGGACCACTTTGATGTTGTAAGTTTTGAGTAAGAGTGATTCTGGGTCGGGACAACGTGGAAAGCCTTGTTCTTTCCCAGTAAGCGCACCTGAGGAACATAAGACACCCAAGTCAGAAGAAAGGAACAAAGAATACCAGTTTAAGTAATTGGCTCGTACTGAAACTGGCTCGTAGCAATAGAGCAAGGTTGCTCTTGACTTTATCACCAGCATCAGGTTTCCGGGCCTTTTCACTGGTCGACATAACATTTCCGCCAATAGTTTGAGCTACCACCTCCGCAACCGAAAGGCCTTGAGCTCGTGCTCCAAATACCGTGGCGAAGTTGCTTTTCTTATTGACATATATTCCCATTTCTTCGTGTGTGGTGAACTCTCGACACCAGCCTGGGGCCGCGTTGGAACTCTCGCTTGAAGCATAAGTGCTACAAGCCAGGAGATAATAAGCAAAATTCATATTGTTCGATTCGTTTTCTAACTGTGAAAGAAAGAATAAAGCCCATAAGAAACAGGAAGAAAAGAATCATGAAAATCTCATATAACTTACCTGAGAGTGAATACGCTCTATACATTTCAGTGATTGACGGTTGTAATCGGGTAAGCTGGGTCCTTGAGGTATGCCAGCTGAAGCCTTCGCAAAATCCTTTGCCACCTTTGATTTATTTACAACCTCGTCGTACAAAACTTGAGCCTCAGCTAGTTCTGTGGCATTGAGAGGAAATGTGTCTTCATCTTCATCTTCGTCGTTGGTATCTTCTTTAGGAGGTGGAGCAAGACCAGAAAGACGGTAAAAGACTGAGGGATGAAAAATTTCTTGTACTTCGTCCGGAAGAGCAGTCCAGATCTTTCCCAGGTCACGGTTCCTTTTGGCCAGAATGCCTTTGACTCCTTTAGGTGGCACTACATATACAAATATGGGGTACAAATTATGAGCATGGCTTCAAAGTCCGTGATTGGAATGATGGTTGGTGTTTTACTTACTTGGATGGTTATCAATCTCCTTACTGTACCTTTTCCATAATTGATATCCTCCAGTTTTTCGCCGTCCTCGAAGCTCACCTCTGTAGAAATAGATTTGAATGAGTGAAATAGGAGAGTTATGGGACATATTGGTTTGAACTTACAGTGCCTTTTCAAGGGTAAATTCACTGATGTTTCCCATAAGTGCAAGCATAGCCTTCTGGTGTTTGTATATTTTACGGATAGCTTGAGCTTCCTTCAAAATCTTGGGTGGTACTGCTGTACCCTTTTTAATCTGTGATCGTTGTTGTACGGCTATACGATGGGGTGGCCATTCGTCCAGTTTGCTCTTATAATTATCGAGAGTCGGTAATAAGACTTGTTCTCCATCATTAGGGGCATGTTCTGGTTCGATCGGGACAGTGGTTTGTGCAAGTCGTTGTCACGAGATTCGATTCGAAGCTCGCCGATTCGTTGGTTCTGGACTCGCCTGAAACTGATTGTTGAGACGTCGCATGAGGTCATCATCTTCGACTTCTTCATCTTCATCGGTAGGTTGAATATTGGTGCTGGATCGAGTGGGTTGGAGTTGAAGTTGAATGTCGGGGTCAGAATCATTTTCATGTGAGTCATCTTCAGAATTTTCTTCGTCTTCAGTATGATATTCATCATCGCTAGTATCATCTGCGACTTGACTGGTTCGGCGACGTCGTTTGAGTGTATTTGAGTTCGATTTCGACGTAGAAGGCTTTACCATCTGCTTGCGTTTTCGTCCGGTTGGAGTCAAGGAAGTCGAGTCAAAAGACGGTGTACGAATGGAACGCAGGTTCCTAGCACTTGGACGTGCCAGAACTGGTGCAGTAGAGGGTGGAGCGCCTCGAGAGCGGTACCGGGTGTAGGAGGGCATGGGTTGGTGATCGAAGTTGTTTATAGGAGATGATGGAACAATTAGATGGGGAGTCAAATGTCGAAGAGGTGGAGGACGAAGAAAAAACTTTCAAAAACCAACTGTATCAAGAAACAATACAGTTACAACCCGGTGAAATACTAATGGGGCATAGTATTTCAAAAATGGGGTACACATTCAAGGTGTGTCTCTGTACATACAGGAATCCCACACTATTGTCAGACTACCACCGGTGAGAAAGGAAATGGTTGGGGGTGGCTTAACCCGTCACTCTGTTAGTGATGGGTCTACACAATTGTATAGCCCAATTTGGAAGACAGGGACGGACCAACCACCTGTCTGTGGTTGGTCTGTGGTTGGGTCAAGGGATACAAGTGAGAGATGTTGAAAATTTTCAATTCATCTGGTATATGACTGGCCAAAAGCAGTTTAACAAATTCAACCACACGTTCCAAGACGTCTCTACCTCACAATTCAAAATCACACATTATCTCTTTCTATATTTTCATTTATGGGCAAGAAAGGCACAGCAATTCATTGTCCACTTGGTGGAAAAAAAAAAAAAAGACGAACCAAGGAAGATGCCGAAGGCTCTGCAATAATTTTTGACCAAGTTGACACGAGTGAAGCTCAATATGTCAATAAACGTCTGATTGAAATTGAAAACGCACTTAACGCGGTTCAGGAACCTTTGCAAGTGGATGGTCAACCAAACCATCACCACGACAACCTTCAAGACAACAACCCCATGGTATACGGGGATGCCTATGACGACATCAACAATTTCCTTCCTGCTCAAGAGGATGCGGCGGTCGCACCGGATCCCAATGTTCCATTTGCCACCTATGTGCAAGGATCATTCTACAGAAGCAAAAAAAAGACTGAAAATGAAAACTGGAAGAAGGCATTGCCGGATATGTTCATTACCTACATGACCTACTCGCAGGAAACTTCCCAATGGGGAGATACAAACAAATGGAACTATGATCACAACAAACAATGTTCCTGTGGTGTGGGGGACCTGAGAATGCGCAAAGTTGATATGTTAGATATTTTGGGTGAGTGGTATTTTCCTCTATGTGGAATCAATTTTCCTCTATGTGAAATCAATTCACCTCTATGTGAAATCAATTCACCTCTATGTGAAATCAATTCACCTCTATGTGAATTGAATTCACATATATGTGAAATCAATTCACCTCTACGTGACATCAATTCACCTCCATGTGAAATCAATTCACCTCTATGTGAAATCAATTCACCTCTATGTGAATTGAATTCACCTCTATGTGAATTGAATTCACCTCTATGTGAAATCAATTCACCTCTATGTGAATTCTTTTCGCCTCTATGTAAAAACAATTCACCGCTATGTGAATTCATTTCACCTCTATGTGAATTCAATTCACCTCTATGTGAATTCCTTTCACCTCTATGTGAATTCAATTCATCTTGATGTGAACTGAATTTATCTCTATGTGACTCATATTCACCCATGTGTGAATCCTATTCACCTCAATGTGAATTCCTTTCACCTCTATGTGAATTCAATTCATCTTGATGTGAACTGAATTTATCTCTATGTGACTCATATTCACCCATGTGTGAATCCTATTCACCTCTATGTGAATCCAATTCACCTCTATGTGAATTCATTTCACCTCTATGTGAATTCAATTTATCTCTATGTGAACTGAATTTATCTCTACGTAACGCATATTCACCTCTGTGTGAATTTCATTCACCTCTATGTGAATTTCATTCATATGAAGACACAGGTGTGAATGAGGCATGTTTGTGTGTAAAGTTAACATATATCCACTTGCTTTTAATGTCTCTAGAGCGGAAACAAGTAGAAATTCTATTCTGTAAATGTACCAAGGATCAAGTCCGGCTCATCAGAATGGGTTACATTGGAGGATCCCCAGTTCATCCTCAAGCCGCATACTCAATCAGGCTACTTAGGATGCATCATTCATTCTGGAAGTATTGCACTGTGAGAACCCAAGGCTTTTCGGTGGCATTGGATGAATTCCTAGACCCAGCAAATCCGCTATTATTGGTTGGAAAAACAAATCAGGCAAGTCAACCACTTGTCTGCAATCGACCATTTCAATTCAGAATGATCTAACATGTTACACATGTACCTTTTTAAGCCTCGACTTTGGCGGAAAACCCTATCTTCGGCAATTGATGCATATCAACATATGCTACGCAAGCAGAAGGCACTCACAATATGTGCATTATATCTCACCGCCTTGGATCAACTTGCTATGAACTGCCCACGATGTTTTGGGCCACTTCAAGCAAACCCGGAGCCACTGGAGAGTGATTACCACGTCTGCACTGATGGAACCTTTCAACATCGTCGACACCTTGCTGCAAGCCGGGAGTGTGAGGAAATGGAAATGGAGAATCCGCCTCTCTTCCTTGACAATCAGAAGGTTGAAGAGTGGAAGACCCGAACTGGTGGCAAAGATCCTTGTGGAGTTGGGGTAAGTCCAAATTGCGTGGCTAATGCATATGTGAATGGCATTCACATAAGTGTGAATATGAAGGACATGTGTGTTATTTTATCACGTTCAGGAGTATATCACCTATACGTGAATTAGAATCACCCATATGTGAATTGAAATCACACACATGTGATTCCTATTCACACCTATGTGAATGTCATTCACACATGGATCAGGGGTGAATGAGCTGTTGTCTAATTTGTTTTTCATTTTTTATCAGGATAACTGTTCAGCATCTCACACAGCTGCTTCAGACATACAAGGAAAATCTACGTGGAAAGGATGTGATGAAACAGGGCTTATTGGAATGGCTTGTAGGCATGATCATGTCCTGAAATTTGTCAACGTTGTTCAGAGTGGGGAGCGGTAAGGTTTCCTCTTCCACTATATATGACAGATGTGTTTCAAAGCTAAATATACTCTTTCATTACTTAGTCAGTACTTTGTGTTGGCTTTGCTAGATCAACTGTTAATAGATACAGCGGAGCCAGAAAAACCGGGTAAAAGTTTTACTGTTTTCTATGATATTGGATGTACATTTGAGAAGAGTGTTCATAATGTGATTTAATTCCTGCTTTCTCAGAGGGTCATAGATTGGTTCTTACTTTGCTTCTCAATTTTTGTTGATAGCACAAATATTTCGAGGCAGAAACGAATCGTGGGGATCTGCGCTTTGCTACAAGTGCTTTCCATGCATATGCTCACGAGTGGTCTTGTCAGCTTAAATATAATCCTAGACTGAATGTGGGCAACGGATTGTCAGATGGTGATGGTTGTGAGCGGATATGGGGAGAGAATTCACCTCTGGTAGCACCAAATAGATGTGCCACAAAGCAACATCGAGTTGATGCCATAGATTTGAAGTCAAGTCATGGAAATGAGACTCGACGCCAAAATGCAGGTATGTTTTTTTTGTACAAGATATGTAATTCAGATTTTGATGACAAGAGTTCAGTTTTCTCAACTCAGGTGAAACTGAAGACGGCAGAAAAGAGATTTTATCAGGCATCTCAGACCCTCCAAACCCTGGAAACTCAAGATCCCAGCTTCACGTATGGCTATTTTTCAGATCAGTGGAAGCGACAGAGGGAGGTCCAGCTGGCTGCAATGGAAGAACGTGGCATACAACAGAAGCTAGAGGAACATCTGGTGAAGCTTCTCGACCTGGAACAGCAGGTGAAAGATGCACAGTAAATTACACCAATTTTTTTTGGATGAGTTTTTTTGGATGAGTTTTTTTGGTTGACTTTTTTTTTTCCAGACATGAGCTTTCACGTCTTTGGAGGAAGCGCAGAGGAAATCGGACCGAAGCCGAGATGGACAAATTTCTAACATTGCCGTCTTCAATTGTCGCACTCGAAAAGGCAGTGGCTGATATCACTTTGGAGTTGGGAACACCTGAGTTCAATCGCCTTCGGGAGGCTACTGGTGAGTCCACTTTGAAAGTATTGAACATTTGTCTGCACTTTTAATTGAAATGGCAATTGAATTTATGAAGGTGCAAAAGCGGAGGCACTGATACGCGTGCGGTTGGCAAAGATGAAGCTATATGAGGCTAAGGTGGGAATAGTAGAAGCCCAAAAAAAGTGGGATAAGGGTGGTCAAGGCAAATGTGTTCAGTTTACAATTGAAAAAATTGTAGAGTGCATTCTTATGATAAATGAAAATTGTTTTTTTTGTATTGATTTCTAGGAACTAAAGCGCAGCAAGGTCTTAAAACTCTAATGACAAAGAAGCAGTTGATGTTTAGGCGGAAATGGACATCCTATGAATCTCAAGTTTCAGATTACAACTCAATTCGCCCAGTAACAAGGATGGCTTGCCCATCACTTGATGAAGCCAAAAAGCTACCATTTGAGGATATCTTCTGGAATGTGGGCGCACTTTCTCATTCTACAGAGAAGTGGGCTGTAGATCCACCCACGATTGAAGGAATCCAGGCCTTTTTACAGCATAGGAGTTGCAGTGAAGAACTACGAAGGATTGGCCGGGAAACTCAGCAGATGGTGTATCAAGCTTTGAAGACTGAAGAAAAGCTTGACGGCTTACTTGGGTTGTGTAGTAGTGGTCAGTAGTAGTATGTGTTTTGGAACAATTTGTCTTTGGTGTTCCTAATGTTTCTTAAAATCTCACAGATTATGATCCGGAAGAGTGTGGTAGACAGCTCATTGAATTGGTTCAGCCTGGGCAGCGTATATCAAAAGATGTTTGGGAAGTGAATGTGGCAGTGTTGAGATCATTGCATGATGATCTGCGTCTGAAGTATTGCAGAACTTGGATGATATGGGATGTAGATCTTGTGGGATTGCTCCATAGAACCTATCAACACACAACGTCAACAGCACAGGAAATTAGGTCATTGATCCAGCACCGGGAAGGGTTGGTAAGTAGATGTAAATCAACCTGGGAGCGTATTGTGAAAGCTCAGAATATAGAAGCAACTCCACTGGATGAGCTGGAATTGTTTGAGCAACATATGGTGCGTGGGGAGGATGACATAGGTCAGGTGGGTGACCTAGCGGATGAAGTTAATCACCTGTTCATTCTGGATGAAGTGGATGATGATGAAATGGAGGAAGACATCAATGAAAGTGGTTTGCATTAAGAATATATTTGTTAGTTTTTGGTTTTGTAAATTTTATAATCAAAGATTTTTCATCATGTCCCTTTTTTAATTCCATATCACATATGGGTGAATACATTCACCTCATGGTGTGATCATACATCACATATGGGTGAATGTTTTCACCTTGTGTGATCATATATCACATATGGGTGAATACATTCACCTCATGGTGTGATCATAAATCACATATGGGTGAATATATTCACCTCATGAAGAGATTGTTGAGGTACACCGGAACCTGATTCCCACAGGTTTGATTCTGTATCACATATGGGTGAATGTATTCACCTCATGTGATATGTAATCACATATGGGTGAATACCTTCACCTCATGTGATTTTACAAATATAAATTTGTTGGTAGTTGGTTTTGTAAATTTTATAATCAAAGGTTTTTCATCATGTCCCTTTTTTAATTCCATATCACATATGGGTGAATACATTCACCTCATGGTGTGATCATAAATCACATATGGGTGAATAAATTCGTCTCATTGTGTGATCATAAATCACATATGGGTGAATATATTCACCTCATGAAGTTGAGGTACACCGGAATCTGATTCCCACATGTTTGATTCTGTATCACATATGGGTGAATGTATTCACCTTGTGTGATATATAATCACATATGGGTGAATGTATTCACCTCGTGTGATATGTAATCACATATGTGTGATTGGTGATCATACATAGAATGTGATGTTTAAGCAACTGTGATTTGAGAGTGTCTGACTAGTAAAGATCTAGCTTCCGCACATGTGAATTTTCATCACACATGGGTGATTTAGCTTCACGTATGTGTGAATGGTTTTTGCACCGTACACCTAGGACTTTCCACAGGCTAGTGGTACATATAAATGTGGCTAGTAAGTAGTAGTGGATCTATGAGTGTGGCCATATAATTCTACGTTTGTGGTGAGTTGTTTAAAATCTTTGGTCCGACGCGTCGGGAGCGTCGGCGCGTCGGGAGCGTCGGCGCGTCGGTAGGTGAGATTCCGGACAGTGTCCGTTAGGAAATACATATTTCCTATTGGATAATATCCGAAGCGTCCAGTAGACACAGGTGAAAATTTTATGCACTTTGGGCTCCCAGCCCTTCAAAATTTGTTTTTTCTGAAAAATGAAATGCTAGTAATGTGCCTCTCAGGTGGAGCTTTCTGATGGTGTTTTCAAAGTTTAGGATTTTCAAGTAGAATTTGGATGTAGGGACAGTGGTATCTTTGGCATTTTTCCGACTTGAGTTGAACCCTGCATTGGCTAACAATGTCATTAGTCAGCTTTGCTATTTCTATGACAAACCTTTCCTCCTGTTGACTCTCATTGTTGTCTGTTCTTATTTATATTCTCCTTAGCCAATCATTGGCTGGCATTGTCACGGTCCTTTGGAGTTAGCCTCTGTTAGCCTTGCCATCATCAGACACACTTTTGAATATATAGAGTCGCTCCCAAGGACTGAATAGCGTCCTTTCTAGTTAAGCTCAGTGCTTGCTGTGGTTTTCATGTTCATGTTGATCACATCCTATTGTTCATTTTGACAATCCACTGCTCTCAGCTGCTCTCATCATCCATGCTGTGTCGTGCCTGTAAAAAAGGTGATCCCCTGCGGGGCTCCGAGGAGAGCAAACAAGATTTTCAAATTGCAGCATTTAAATTTTGAATATCGACGGATATCAAGCAGAATCTCTGACCGTCTATGTATCCTACCATTTCAATCCTTATAATTCCTTAAAGGTCTATCTTACAATGTTTGGTTATCCATTGAGAAACTTCAAGGAGGATGTATGTTTTGATGAACGACCGTATCCGCCACAAGCACTCTCAAACTCAAGCATTCAAGAACAAAAGGTTGCTGTCGCTTCAGTGTTTTGAGTCCACCTGTGCTTTGGAAGGTCTAGTAAGTGCAAAATGAATACAAACAGTCCCGGTTTCATGTCTTAACGTTGTTGGCATACCTTGGGAGGGATTCTCATCATAGGTCAATCTGTCCCGGGTGATAAATTCAAGTTGAAAAGAGCACCATAGCCCTTGAGAACCGATTGCACCGCAACAAAACACCGTCGACCAAATCAATCACTTAGCACACATCATAGATCGGAGCATTTATAAGTCCTTGGAGAGCCAGCGGGTGTCTTTACAATACAGATATACTCAGGGACCATTACAAGACATGGAGGGCGGAAACCAGATTGTGTTGAAGCATATGATCTGCCGAGGTAGAGTACGCCCAATTGCAAGCTCATGATCATCAAAACACAGAAATCGACTGGACATCAAATTGAAAATTAGTTCCACCACATAAACCTCAATTTAGCGCACATCACAGAATGGGCAGCTACAGAAGCGCTGTCAAGTAACGAAGCATAACTCGAAAAGCAACAGGTGTAAGGCGGCTAGAAAAAAAACAAGCATAAAAAGATGAGGTAGAAGGCTGAGAAAATGAGTAAGAAGAAGCTAGCATCAGGCATCCAACGATTCTCTCTCGACTTAAAGGATGTTGCACTATTGAACAAAAGTAATGATTGAGGTCAGAGCAAAGCAGCGAAGAGCTGGCAAAGCATAGAATGAGAATGAGAGACCCACAACTTTGCCACGAGTGCGTCGACCGCCACCTTTCTTGGCAAGCAGTGCGTACCAAGTCGCGTGCTCAAAAACTTCTCGGACTCCGTGACCGGACTTAGCACTACATTCGAGGTAACATTGTGCACCAATTTTTTGGGCGACGGCCATTCCCTAAAGCAATGGAAGCTGTGTTGAGAAAGGCAATCTGAGGCATGCTTTGACAGTTGTACTTACCTCGTCAGATGTTACGGGCCTTTGACTTGTTCTTCGCAACTCATCGATAGTTTTCGGGTCATTCCTATGGATGATATTGGAGACAGTCTTTGAGTCAGGCTAGCTCGATGAAAAGGAGGCAATGAGGTTGAATCCGACCTAAGATCCTTCTTACATCCTACCAAGACGATAGTTAAGCCAAGTCTGGCTCGCAGCGCTACCCAGCGCTGCAAGCCGTTTTTCTGGCAACGTAGCTCTTTGGTTTGGGTTTGAGGTTGGTAACGCTCACAGTAGCTTAGAGGACCCTTTTGGACATAAGAGTAGCTCGAAGCGTAACTTTTTCACGCTGCGCCTCGCACCGCTGCCAGCAAAAAAAAAGCTTTTTTATTTTTTAGATGATAACAAAAAAAACTCAACAAAAAAATCACAAAACAAAGCATGTAAACGAGCATAAAGAAACAAGTAATAATATTTTAAATGAGTGTTGAGAAAAGAAGAAGAAACGAGAAAGTGAAATTGAAAAAAGACAAAGGACAATCATTTAAAATAATTGATGAGAGTAATTTTTTCTGGTTTTCTTAATTAGAACCTTCTTTCCATAATCAATTACCTTGCCAACCTCGGCAAAGTCCCCAGTCAAAGGAACACCCTCTTGCATCCAAATAGTTCCACTGACTAACATTTCAACCATCCGAGGTTTCAATCCTCCTCGTTCGTCGGTACAAACCCGTCCAGCTACAGAAAAAGTACGTTCAGGAGGACTAGATGCCGCTGGCGTTGCTAGGTAGTTCCTAGCCAAAATTGATAAGACAGGATACTTTCCTGCGTGAATACAATCTTGACTGCAAGTTTGAGGGAAGATTACTCACGCGCCACCAATCCAATGCACGCTGGGGATTGTTTTGATCAGGCAATACCATTGGGTCGATTCCTTGGAGATAGCGCTCAAGTTCTTTGAGATTGCTCTCCGAAGTAACCTCATTGTAAAAATCGAGGAAGCCTGGTTGAAAGATTGATGGGGGAGATTCCACTGGAGAGGAAGTCAATGTAACTGGTTGATTGTCAGTTCGAAGGGAAGCTGCTTCATTTTCGGAGGTGAATGCCACTTGAAGTAGAGCTTCTGCTTGGTCATGTTCAGGTGAGCCTTCTCCAAAGGCGTGAGAAAAGAATCGAAGACGTTGACCAGGATGAAAGACCGCTGCAAGGACCAAAGTGTCGCATGCAAGAGCTTCGTTGAGATAAAGTTGGAGTTTCCCAAGCATCACATCCAACATTGGGTATAGGGGATCATTGTCGTGCATTTTCTTCAATCAATCATTCATTGAGGATTTGAGTTGTACATACTTCACCAATACCATGCAACCTGTCGGATGATTACCCTCCATCTCACGAGTAAGTATCTTGTATGGCTACAAAATGGTACCAAGCGATTGATATCATTATTGGAAACTTTAACAACTTGAACGACTAGATAATGAAAAATATCTTACTGTGAGAATGTCACATAAATCCCTCATACCTTGCCAATCTGCAACAGAGAAGATAACTTCTTTGAAATAGCCGTGCTTCTTTCCGTCCTTCTTTGCTCATTGCCTTTTTGAATGGACATCTGCTAGATCCTCTCTCATGACACCATCAATAAGCTGCAAGAGGGTTCACACTGGTCAATCATCAAACTTAGAGAGAATTAAGTAGAAATACACTACACACCTCTCGGGCCTCCCACATACGTTCCCAACGTTCAGCACGAATGCCCCAACGTATCCCATGGCCGGACAAAAGTGCCTTCAACTGAGGCATATTCTCTTTTTTGCGTTGACTGTTTTCTCTTGCTCAGCGTCGATTGAAGTCCGCTCGGTGGCCGCTGGATTGGGTGAGTTTTTTGTTCACGGTGTCCATCTAAAGTGATCAAAATTCAGCACAGTAACTAAATTTGATGAAACAAAAATGAAAAACAAAATCAGATTCAATTGACTTACGTCTTTACAGAGCTGCTTCATATATGTATTGCCAAGCAGGTATGCAGCCTTGCGGTGTTTGTAGTATTCAGGCTCATCTTCTTGTTCTTGATCCTCATCATGTTCAGAGTTTGAGGCTGAGTCCTTGTCGCTGTCGGAACCTGAATTGCTGTCGTCATTGCTAATGAAATCTTCCTCTTGATCTTGTTCTTCTTCATCTAACACCAACTCATCACATTCAGATCCAGCTGGTTCATCAAGGCCATCTGCTAGCTCGTCATCTTCGTCAATCACAGCCAATACTCCCACCTGTGGAAATCGACCCAAGGCACTATGTCGAATGTGCCTGGGCTTCATTCCTAGTGCGTCCAGCCCAGCTTTCACAATCAGCCCCATCTTGTGGCAGAAGCAGCGTATCGACATCGATTTTGGTTTCCAAGTGAAGTCGTGTCCAGATTTGAGGCCTTCTTCCCGGAGCTGACGTTGCAATTCTCGTCCAAGGGTGATGTTGTTGCTTCCCGAATCGGAGGCACCTGCGAGCATGTAAAAGCATAAGAGATCGAAATATGAGGACAAACTTCATGACAAGAAAAGAAAAATGATATAAAAAAGATAATGTAAACATAAATAAAGAGAACTTATCTTTTGATATAGATTGTTCTTCTTCAAAAGAGTCACCAACGGCTCAGCAAGCAGGTGGCCATTGTGATGCCACACCACTAACTTCAAGCTCAAATGGCGGACCACGTAGGTCCAGTCCTTCTTGATGTACGATACGGATGCCCCAATGAATGCGTGTAGGTTGCCTTTGACCGTCCAAACATCTTGGATTAAGCAGAATTTGCTATCCAAGTCCTGTAAGTGAAAAGAAAAGAATAAAAAGATAAAGTTAAATAAGACAAAGTGAAATGAGGAAGAGACGGAAGGAAAACTTGAATAAAAAGTGGTCTACATACTTTGAGTTCTTTTTCGATGACCAAGTCACGAAGTGATAGATATAATCGCTTGGCCTCGTCCGCCGACCACTTACGTCCAAATACTTGTGCATCCGGTGAGAGCCAATACATGATTGATTTCAGGATTGGGTCATCAATTCTTTTAAATGGTAAAGCTTGGGCTACTTGCCAAACCGCCAAACATTGATTTAGGGTCTTATTTGAAAACTTTGGAGACGAGCGAACAAAAGAGGCTAGAGAAGTTTGATGTTCTTGCTGTAGACGTTGAATACGCAGAGCTGCTTTGGTTGGAGGGAGCTTCGCACCAGCCGAGATGGCCTGGTTACGACGAGGACACCCGTGCCCAGACTTGCCGGCCTGTTTGTGACCATCACGATGGCACTTGAGGTTTGATCGGCGAGAGCTCCCGCTGACTCGAACGACTTTCTTGCACCAAAGGCATGGGTAGGATAATCCGGGTTGATCATGTGGCTATACAACTTACAAATCAGCTTTGGTTGGTAGAATATCAAACTATGAATGTAAGAAAAACTTACATCGTTTTTACCATGGGTGGGTTTTCCAAAGTAATCGTAAGGACAGTCGTACTCCTCGGGAACGGGCTGGTTTCTTTTTCTCTTCCTGATTTGTAAGTTTTCTTCATCAGAATCTTGTGCAAGATCCACTTCGGGCGGACCCAATGGAATGGGTCTGGGCACGGGTTGCTTTAGCAACTTCAGGTTTACGCTTGTACTGCCATGCGGCAAGGGTTCATTTGTGCGCATGTGATAGAGAGAAACTGACGCGAAATGAAAAGAACTGAAAGAGAACAGTGAGATAGAAAAGCGTGAAACTGGATGAGACCTGAACAGAGTGTGAGCGCCCGTGAGTTCTGTGGGCGGCACATTATCTTTCGGTGTACAACTTTTTAAACGGCAACAACGCCTTATTGAGAATGCAGAGAACTAACAATGTAGTTAATTTTTATAACAACACCTGTTGTTTTCCGAGTTTATTTAACATAGTAAGGGTGGGTGGGAGGAAATTGAAAAATTGTATAATTTTCGAATTCTTTTGATGAGAGGAAAGTTTAGATAGGAAGAACGCGGATTGAAGAGTAACAATTTTGTTATGAGTTACTTTGAAAGGGGACAAAAGAAATTGCAAGGTGGGAACTAGGGATTCTTTATGTGATCTTTTTCCTTCACCTTGACGTCCATCCTTTGATGTGATTGTGAGATACAACGAGATCACAACTGCGAGGAGTAGACGTCAAGGTTAGGGACCCGCGTGCTTCCGCTACCCGAACCTTTCCTACCCATTCCCGTGTGTCAATACGCGTACCGACTCTCAGGAATGGGTCTGGGCACGGGTTGCTTTAGCAACTTCAGGTTTACGCTTGTACTGCCATGCGGCAAGGGTTCATTTGCGTGCATGTGATAGAGAGAAACTGACGCGAAATGAAAAGAACTGAAAGAGAACAGTGAGATAGAAAAGCGTGAAACTGGATGAGACCTGAACAGAGTGTGAGCGCCCGTGAGTTCAACCACCCGGGTAGGAGAGAGAGTTGGTGATGGTAAGATATAGAGTGGTGATGGTTGAAACCGACTTTTATGGTTGAAATGGTGTTTGAACTCTCGAGCGCCTCTGTAGGTATAAACACGAATGACATTCGTAGAGTTTGTTAACGGCACTCGCACGAAGTGCATGGAAGTTGAGAAAATGTCCGTACCTTGGATGGTGATTGCAAGATCAGCTCTTTCCAATGCTGTAGGAGAGATAGAGATCGTGTCCTATGATAAAGATACCTAGATACGGGTACTTTGTCAGCCTAAGGGTGTGGTACGGTTATCGTAGATAACTCACCCTTCGCTGCCCTCGACCGTGGCGGCCGCTACGGGTTACTACTGAGCTGCTAGCCCAAGGCTACAGTGTCAAGGTAGTATGATGGGTAAGACTGTCAGCAAGGTGTCAATCTTATAGCCGGAGCTATAGTAGGGTTTGAAGGAGTTTCAAAAGGAAGGCTCACAAGAGTGGCTCCTGGAAAATCGACTTGCTCTCCGATGGACATGCCTTCGTTTTGCGCGTAGCGTTGCGTGTTGTTGAGGTTTAGAAGTGGGTGCGTTCGGATGTAGGTTTCGAAAGCGTTGGAGGACCAACGCCCGATTTGGCGTATGGTTTGTAGGTCCATCCCACTTTCTGCAAAGGCGGTAGCTCCTCCTGCTCGCAACGAGTGGCCGGTGCGTGACTTTTTGAATAAGTCTTGAAGGAGGTTCATGAACCACGAACGAGTTGGTTGTGATCCATCTTC